AACTTAAATGCTACCTGCGGTTTGTCAGTTAACACCTCCGTAGTCATAAACTTCGCTAGTTCAAAAGAAAAAAAAATCTTATACAGAGTTCTTAAGGTGATTGTGTTAAAACTCAACATTTACTCATGTTGGGTAATCAAACACCAGCCAGTGAAAGCAGGTATTTAAGAAAACCTTGCACTCACTGATAGCAGGGATCTTGGAGGGAAAAAAATAAAAAGAGAAAGACGTGCCCAGGTGCAGTACACCAGTTCCAAGGGGGGACACGTTAACTGAAACCATTTAAAAAGAGCTGGTTAATGAACAGTTATGCAGATCTGTTCAACTTAAGTAGGTAAAGATTTAATAAACAACAAAAAAAGGAAAAAACAGTGTCTTAAAAAAAACATAGATATTTACAGTTTTACTTAAACGTGGTCTGTACCTGCACCAAGCTGCACGCTGTGCACACACCTTCACAGGTGCGTGAGCAGAAGCAGCTGGGGCACGGAACTGCTGGGGCAGTGAAACACCACCACGGAACCAGTGGGAATTTCAGCTCGGGGAGGTACTGCCTCTGCTGCTGCTGTGCACAGAACAGCAACGTGATCGGACAGAGGAATTTCAGTGGAAACAGAGAGCCTGCTGCACTAACCTAGCCATGATTTTACAAAACATTTTGAGATCTAACACCCGTACTACACCTTTTGTAAGAAAATAGAGAGCAGCTTTCAGCTGCAGTTCTTCTAAACTACGGTAGGAAGGCTTCGCTAGCACGCCTCCTAGCTTGGCAACCATCTGAGGTAATTGCTGATGCTGTTAAACGAGCATCCTTCATTTCTCTCCAGCCACGCCGCCTGTCGCCTCCTTATTGAGTCCTCTGATTGACAGGTCGTAAACCACTTCCTCAATTTTCTTGACGTCGTACTTCAGGCCATCGTAGCGCTTCCTCAGGGAGTCGTTCTTCAGGTTGAGGAGGCGGAAGCCAGAATCCAGCTCATTGATAAACGTTGAGATACGGAGAGGGCGAGAATAGTCACCAGCCGTGACGCTGTTCACCGCCAGCCTGGCCTACGAGAGGAAGGAGAACATCAGAGGGATCTTCCCAGATCACTTCACGCCTCCCTTCAGTTACTTCACCAAATGAAGCAGAGTTGTTCCAGGTAGTCAGCTAAATTATATCCACATCTACCTTTCTGCTGACCGGAGCCCTGGATTTTCAATCCAGTGACTACTTTAAAGCTTAAAATATCAGCAAGGAACAACTCTGTCATACAGACAAGCCTTTTACTAGAAGTTCAGACTAAGGTGTTCCAAACCGTAACTTATATAAACAACTTAAGAATAGGTAACGTGTTTTTTTAAATTTTTTAAGGTCACTTTCAACCCAAATATATGCATGAATATCTTCCTTACCAGCTCACTGGCAAGAGTTAGCACACCAGAAAGGTAGTCTTCAATGTCCAGGTGAAAGCCCCTCTCTCTCTCAGCTTCAACTAAGATAAAAAACAGAGTGGCAGTCAGGTGATACTGAACATCAGCGAAACCAGCAGGTTGAAATTACGTTTGTTTATTTGAGCTAATCTGAAATATCAAAATTATGAAATACTACTGCAAAATAAGTCACCCTTCTCCTGTCTGTGATACTATTACTGCCTCTTCGCAGCATTGTGACTTAGCATCTTATACAGCCTCAGCTGCACATGCAAAAAGCTATCTAATAGAACAACTGAATTTACATTAATATACAGGAATGATGCCTGGAGTCCTTTTTAAAAACAAGGAAACAAAAAACAAGCACACAAACACCTTTCCTCATTTTTTTCAAATCCTTTCCTCTGGGAGGCAGCGATTCTCTTAATAGTACAAAAACCTGTTTTCCCCTTTTTTTAAATACCAAAAACAAAAGGTGAGAAAAGCAAGCTGTCATCTATTACTCTTTTGGTAGACTAGGCAATTTGCATGAATACCTTTCATTAATGAAGAACTACTTAATGCATAAATACTTTTCTTACATTAATTTTTCTGATTCCCACTTTCTAAAAGCAGCTGTTATGTAATAAAATCCAGTACCAGATAAGTTTTGGAACCCATTTCTTGGGAAGAAATTAAGTTCTGCTGTTCCCCTGTACGCCTCTGCAAACTACAACATCTGAACATTTCACAAGCACTTTCTCTCCAGTTACAACATGAACTTACTCCCCAGTATTTCTGCAACAGCTTCCCGGGTCACTAACGTTTCTGACTCCAAGTAGACTACAAATGCTGCCAGAAACACCAACCGCTGAAGCACAAACCTCCAGTGCTCATGGAATCTGTTGGGAAAAACACCAAGTCAAGGATTAAAAAAAAAAAAAAAAAAAAAAAAAAAAAAAGAAGAAGTAACATCTATTACTGGAGAGCTGGGCAACAAGCGATTTAAATGCCTGCAGTAGGCATTAATTATGTTTTTCACCTTTACACATAGCACTTTGCAGTATTTTTTGCTTATCAAAACTACACTGGCTTAAAATCAGCTCCTCAGCACCCCAGCATTTGAGATTTGAGCTGACAAGATTCTTGCTCCTTGGTTTGTTCTTGCTAGACACTGTCCCCTTCTGGCGGCAAATAAAATATAAGGGTGACGACTTCACTTGGAACCTGCAGTATCACACAGCCATTTCATGGCAGACATAGAGCTGGTTTCAGAAACATCCCCAACCTAACGACTTAAATTAATAGAGCAGCAAATGTTCCGCTTTCAGAAATATGGGCTGCTCCTATGGAACACTAATTTCTTATGTTTTCCTTTCGGTGAAAAAGGAAAAAGATAAAGGGAGAAGAGCTTGAGCAAAAGCATTTTTAAGTGGTGCTGATAAAAACTCACACTTCTCTCCTACCGGTTACTTTTCAAACAGGAAGAAATATCAGGTTCATAAACCTTTAAATTACTCTTCCAAAGCAATGGTGCCAAACACGCCCAGGCAGCGCTCACGTCCATGCCTGGCTGTGTGGGCTGCACACCTGTAATACTGATCAGCAGGGAACTTTGTCTTCAGGGATTCCATCTGCGTGCGTACTGTACCAAAGTGTTCTCGAGCCTTCTGACATTTCTTTGGTACTGGAAGAGAAACAGGGCAACATTCAGTGCTTGACAGGGAACATGGATCTGTAAACAGAGAGCTCTTTAAAACAGACAGCGTTGCTTACGCTCCTTTAAACATGCTGCTCCTTTTTGGGCACGACAGTCTACAGGCATTCAGGTTGATCTGAGAAGAATTGTTACACCTAGAGTCACAGGTAGGTAACAAACACTCCTGGGTTTTGGGTTGCCTGATGTACACCATTCCCAGTTTGGAACCCAAGACAAGACAACCTGGTGTTGTCACCGCTAACCGTGACTCATTACTGCTGCTATAGGACTTAAGCCACGGATGGAGACTCCATTTTATAGTGGGTTCTGACAGGAGAAAAGACTGGGAGGGTCACTGGGGGAATCATAAAAGCTGGAGAACAGCGGGGGATACGAACGGGCAGCCCAGCTCAGGAAGGGCAGGGGCTGCAGGGCCCTACTGGGGCTGCCAAGCGGGGTGAGACAACACAGAGGGTCAGCACCAACAGCAGCAGCCAGACCCCGAGCGGACAGGCAGCTCGCTGTCAGCAATCCAAGGAAAAGGAACTTCTGCTCCGTTTTAAAATCCTGCAGTGCTCCTTTACTGCATTTGAATGAGCTGGGCCTCAGCCTGCCCACTGTGCGCTGGATCTCTGCACCGACACAATCTCCTGGCTTCGCACACACACTGCCACCTCCTGCTTACTGGCCCCAACTACAGGCCCGTACCATCAGGCACAGACCCTTCGGGTCTCTGCTCCTTCGCTGCAGCTGCTCAAGAATCAAAGATAGAGCTGACCCCAGAGCTGCACGCTGAGCACCGCTGCCCAGCACAGGCAGAGCCCCCCAGAAGCAGCCACCACAGAAATACGCTGCCATCTGTAAGAGAGGTGAGGTGTAAAGCCCAGTGAGAGCCAGGTCAGCCAAGAGGTATAACAAGGCCCTGGAGAACAGGGAAAAGCAACTGCGTGCTGCAAGGGATTTAATGCCAAGGAGCTGTGTGGAAATTGCCCTCTCAAGCTTCCCACTATCATGAAGCTCAATGGACGCTGAGGAGCGCTGCAGTACCAGAATTCAACCATCACCAAATCACGGTACAGTCACAGCAGGCGACACCAGACAAGTGCTATTTTCTCCGCAACAATCTTTGTTACTTGCCACAAAGCTCGACCAAAGCCATTACTGACTCTGTGACTGGAGTACCTGACAAGCTGACAGCGCGTTACCGGGAGTTAACACTTGGCCTACTAAGCGTGCATTTGTTGTCTCTGATAGCTGATGAATGGGAAGCAGAATGTTCTCCTTTTTGCCAGTTTAACTGCCTCGCGTCCCTTCTCAGAGCCTGCAAGTCCCAGGACCAGCTCCCTCCCTGACTTAGAAGGAAAAAAAAATGAAAATAGGAGAACGCACTGAGTCAGGCACAGATCCCTGCTCCTAAACATTGCAAAACCACCCCTGGAGCTGACAGCCGAGGGGCTTCTCCCTGCACCCACGGGCACCCCGGGCCTCTCCCCTTCCCTGAGGGCTCTCCGGGCGGGCAGAGGGCGGCTTGGGGCAGGGGAAGGGAGGGGATGCGGGGGGTGCGGGGGGCACTCACTGTGCTGGAAGCCGCCCCCCTGGTGCACGCCCTGCAGCAGCGTCAGGATCTCGCGGGCCGTCTGCTCCAGCGCCTGCACGACCTTGCGGATCTCCTGCGGGCACAGCAAGGCGTCAGCCCCGTTCCCCCCGGCTCCCATCCCCATCCCCTCCCCATCCCATCCCATCCCCGTCCCCCCGGCGCCCACCTCCCGCACGTCCTGGTCGGCGGTGAGCACTCCCTGCAGCGCCACGAACATGGCGCTCACCGACATGGCGCCCGCTGCCTCAGCGCCGCCCGCGGGCTGCGCATGCGCAGCGCCTGGGCGGGAAGGGGTGGGGAGGGGGGGCACTTCCGGCGGCTGTGCTGAGGCGGCCAAGATGGCGGCGGCTGGGACAGGGGCCGTGGCCGCCTCCTCCTTCCTCTCGCTGGAGCCGCAGGCGCGGGGCGGCCCTCGCAAGGCGAGGAGGGGGCGCAAAAAGCGGGCGGAGGAGGAGGTGAGGGGGCTCTGCGGCGCGGTGGGGTCGGGTGGGTGAGGTGAGGTGAGGTGAGGTGGGGGGCGGCCGGGCCTGGCCTGGCCTGGCCTGGCCTGGCCTGATGGGGCTGTGCCTGTGCCTGTGCTGACGCCGGCTGTGCCCGCAGGAGCCGCTGCAGCCGGGCGTGGTGTACGTGGGGCACCTCCCGCGGGGCCTCTGCGAGCCGCAGCTCCGCGAGTACTTCGGGCAGTTCGGCACCGTCACGCGGCTCCGCCTGTCCCGCAGCAAGAAGGTGAGCCCCGCCGCGACCCCCCCCCCTCCCTCTCCCTTCTCCTTCTCTCTCTCTATCTGTCTGTTTCTCTGTCTGTCTGCCCGTCCTGCAGCGCCTTCAGCAGCCCCGCGGGGCCCTGCCCGCTCCCCGTGCTCTGCGCGCACCGCGTGGAGCCTCGCTGCAGTTCCGGGAGCGGGCGGGGGGAGGCTCCGCGCTCCCTAAACAGGGAACGCGGAAATTGCGTCCGGGGCTGGGAGCACGTGAGTCTCTGGGCTGCAAACGAGTGGTTTTTGCGACAGTTTTTAAGTAGCACCCTTTGTTCTTAAGTAAATACCCTAAAGTGAGAAGTGCCAAAATGCGCTAATCCAGGATAGATCGCAAAATGTCATGGAGAAGAGTCTATGTTGCGTTGTGCTCCATAAATTTAACTTCTCCTCATGTCTTGGTTTATCATCGTGTTCTAATACTGCTGTATAAACTTAGGAGCAACAACAGCAATGCATGGTTTGTTTTTTTACCATATAGATATAGATGAACAGACAGTTTCATCCATAGGTGTATGTTAAGGAACACTATCTGGCCAGTTTAGGACTAAATCTGGTGCTTTTCATGGCCTCACAGAACTCCGTGGCAGTATTTGCCATTAGTGTGTCAAAGCATCGTTTCAGCTCTCTCTCTGCCCTTGCTTGCAGACAGGAGGCAGTAAAGGCTACGGATTTATAGAGTTTGAGTCTGATGATGTGGCTAAGATTGTTGCAGACACGATGAACAACTACCTGTTTTCAGAAAGACTGCTGAAGTGTGAGTATAAACTGAGCTATCCATTGTCTAACGCAAAAGCATATTGATGTGCATTTATGTTGCCTTTTTGAAGTACAGGGGAAATTTTATTTCTTTATGAAGTTTTGGCTCAACATGATTCTTTGTGGGACTGTTGTTGCAGCTGCTGTCCATGTAGTTAGATGTAAGGCTTTATTCGGGGAAAAAGATGAATGAAATTAGCCAGTTTCTCAGGCATTGCTTTGTAAAGGAACATGGGTTGGTGTAACTGCTCATATTCCTTTGCGTCAATTGTTGCACATCAGGTTTCTCTGACTGTTTTCTGGGTGTAAGTGAACAAGTGTTCTCTTCTTCCTTTGTCTTACCACCGAGTATTTAGTTAGTCTGTTCATGAACTGCTGTAGTGGCGTTCTGGTGTAGCTGTGGGTGACGCTACAGTGGGCCTGAAGGGCGTTATGTGAGCGGGTTTGGTGACAGGAATAGCTGTGCTATAACCTGGTGTCCTGTGCTGACGATACAGGTCAGTTTGTGCCTCCTGAGAAGGTCCGTGAGGATCTCTTCAAAAACAGTGAGAGGATGTTTCAGAAGCCTTCCCAGCCAGCAGTCAAGCGGTACAACAAGATACGCTCACTTGCCGAGAAGGCCAAGATGGCAAAGCGGCTGCTGCAGAAGGAGAATCGCCTGCGGAAGCGGCTGGCTGAGAGGGGCATCAAATACAGCTTCCCGGGATTTGTAAGTCTGGGATTGTTCTGACAGGCGTTTTGTGAAAACTTGCTTCTAAGGATGTGCTAAATACCAAAATCATGTCTCGTGTGGAACTGGCGTGAGACCTGGAGTAACACAGAGACCTACATGTGTCAAGAGTTGTGTAGAAGCTCCCTAACTTCTTAATGCTCCTTAACAGAGCATTACAGCGTAATGCTCTGTATATGTGAGTTTACTTTCAGAGGAGTAAACCAGTAGCAGCAAAAGGGAGAAGTTCCTTTTTCCTGTTCCTATAGGCAGTAGGAGGGTATGCCATGTTTTTAATACGTCTGTAGGCCACAGAAAAACAACGGGGGCTTTTCCAAACCCCTGTGCTGTGTGTGTGGGGGTGGTTGCTGTAGGAACACTGCAGTAGTTACAAAGCAGAGAAGTCTGTGTGCTGTTAGGTGACTGTTTACGTTTTCATCTGGGAAGCTTGTAGTGACTTGCCTGATCTGTCTCACTTCCTAGGCTGCGCAGGGGCCTGCTGTGAAGAAAAGGAAAGTTAAAAAGTCCAAGTCAAAACTGAGCGTTTCTCTGAGCAGCCAGGTAAGACCAAACAGTCCTGGTGGTGCCCAGCACTGCGACCGCTCACCCTGCGGCAGGCGTCTCGGGTCTGCAGCTGCTTCTTCCAAGCCATTTCAGTGCCACAAACTTGGATATTGTTTTCCTTGCGGAGATTTTTGTGACAGAAGCACCTCTTTTGAGGTGGATGAACACATTTAAAAGGAATAAGGTGGTTGCATCCACTCTCCTCCTTATCCTCTTGTGGTATTCAGCAGCGAAGGCTTCTTTCTGCCCAGCGTGCTGTTACTCAACCAGTGGAGCTTGCCTTGAGGTGTGCCCAGGCAACAGCCTGCTGTCAGCCTCTGCTGCTCGGCGCTAACCTAATGCCAGCCTCCTGCTAAAATGAAATTGAACAGAGAACGTGGTCTAATGCTGTGTACCCCACTTAGGTGCTCTCTTGTCCCTCCTCCCTTGTGCTCTCATCATGGTTTTCCAGTACTTGAAAGTTAATGCCAACTAAAACTGGCAGTAGGGTGAAGGGACAGATCAGGTCATCGGGACTCAGATTTGAGACACTGACAGTCTAAAAGGTCTGGAAGGTATTAACGTGTTCATTTCATTGCTTTTTTTGCTTAATAACTTATTTAATGTGTTTTGATTTTCTTTTTGGGGACAGGCTGGTTGTGAGGGAGGCAGGGCAACTTGTACATTTGGTCAACTGAGTTCTGAGAAATTACTGAGAGAATGAAACTGGAATATTTCAGCTCGGCTGTGGGCTCAAGTGTGGCATTTTTGTATGCCATTCTCAAATATACTTAGTGTGTTTTTTTTTCTTGACTTTCAGTCTTGGATTTTCGAATACTTTGAGTCAGGAAATAAGTTCAGAAAACCAATCAGTGTGATGACATGTTAGAAAACATTTATTTTTCACATCTACTCTTTTGGAGGTGGCACTGTTAGTCTGAAGCAATACTGTCCAAAGATGATTATGAAAGGAAAACAATTTTCCCTAATACGTGGAAGTTCTGCAGGAAAGCTGGACCGAGGAGCCTTGTGGTACCACAGAGGCCACAACAACTTTTTCCGGCAGGTGCTTTGCTTTGCAATGAATCCTGTTTTTCTGATCTCCTCAGGATCCTACTCCAGTCTGTACTCCTACAGTGCTTGAGCGCCGGCAAGCTCACCAAGCAGATGACGACGCAGAGGACAAGGAAATAACTCTCAAACTGCCCCCTGCAAGCGTTAAAAAACCTGTGAAGAGACCAAGGAAACGGCAAAGAAAAGAACCCAACCTGAAGAAATAGAAATAGACTTAAAATTCTGGTGGCTGTAACCATGTTCTTCTTCTTCCTCAACTCAAACGCTGGTGAGGTGGAACTTGTGCCCTGGCTCGGTTTGTCTCACTAGGCTGTTTCAGCCTCTCACAGGCAGGGAATGCATTCACAAATCGTTCCCTTCCTGTTTAGCCAGCGGGGAGCTACAGTCTTCTCTGCCCTTGAAGATTGTCTTGGTTTTTGCACTCATGAGTGCGAGTTCTCTGACATGCCTGCAGTTGTTGTGCCAGAACCTTTGGTTTGTTCTGTGCTCTTGTCTCCAGCACCCCCTGTTCTGAAAGAACATGTGAGGCTGTCTGTTCTGATCCTGCTGATGGGGTCGGTATTTTATACCTACTGGCTTATAAAATACAGTTTTTAACCATTGCTAGTTGTACTGGCTCTTGGTAGCGCCTCTCTTTAGCTGAATGCCTGTGCTGTATGAGAGTTTTCACACAATGAGACAATCAGAAGGGTATCTTCTGCTCCCGGGGCTGATAAGCTCACTGCAGTACCATAAGGAGCCGCTGGGTGGGTGAGGCAGGAGCAGGAAGGCAGGGCTGTGTCACTGGTACGAGGCCAGGGAGCAGCACAGCTTTTTGCTGTGCCCGTGAGGTGTGTTCCTGCCCACCTCAGCCTGCCAGAGCTGACTTGGAGCTCTTAAGGCTGATGACGTGCCCACAGGGACGAGCTGCATGCCTACTGCCAGTCTCTTGCCCAGCTGCCCTTTACCTACTGGAGGTGGTACAGAAGTTGGAGATGCTTTTAAAAATCTTTCTCCAACAGGCATTTCTCTCAAGTTTTTGTTGTGGGAAGATGCTACAGAACCCACACTGAGGGCTTTCCTTAGAGAAGGTGTTAACTCACTGCTCCAGAAACCGGATCCTGCCTTAGGAGGTTGGCAAGGTGTGGCTAGATGTGGGAGGCGTGCTCACAGCCTGTGTCTGACTTCTGGACTTAACCTGTCCTGTCTGGAGGTGCAGTTGGACTGTGCAGGTAGACTTTGAATTTTCTTTCACGTCTGAGCAACACAGAAATTCCAATTTGTTTTGTAGCAGCTACTTGGCCTTGATCTTTTACTGCCTGAGATTAAACGCTCTGCTGCTGCACTGCTCTAGCTCACACTTGGCAGAAGGCTTCAGAGGACAGCCCAGGTGCTAACTGCCTGCGCAGGTGGGTGGCTGCTGCTGGTTCCTTGGCTGTTCTCAGGGGGACTCCTGGCAGAGGAGGAGAAATCAGAACCATCGGCAGGCTAATTCCGTCCTGTCCCACCTGATCACTCGAATAATCGTGTGTGCACAGTGACTGAAATTAGATAGTTTTCCTTTGTCGCTCTGAAGTGTGGGGGAAGCCCCTTCGGTGAGTTTGTCCTGACATCAAGCACTTGTCTGCTTGGGCACGCGCAGTGCCTGGCAGAAATAGCAGCACATGCTGCTCAATTCTTAAAAACACGTGCAGCTCTGGAAAAAACTAATCATGCTACAGGACTTCATGCAGCAGAGAGTGACAGAAAAGAAACTGAGTGCGTCTGCCCAGAATGGGCGGTTTCCTTTTTAAAAAAATAGGTATTCTTTGAGTGAATAAAGAGGGCTGGTAGGGCAAGGTGAGGCAGAAGCGGGGTGTGCTCTTTGCTATGCGGAGTTGGGTGCCTGGTGTGCTGTCTGGCACAGGGGGGCAGCACGCACCAGCTGTGTGGGGACGCGCTGCTCTGACAAACAGGGCGTAAGGTTCCCTGGGAAGTGAGCTCCCAAACGAGAATGAAACCTTGTCCGAGCGGTTTGCAGTGACCTGGCTGCACCTCTTCCACCTTGGGCTCTGCGGCTTCACTCACTGTGCTTGTCGTGCCTGGGCTGTCCCATCCCGTTGTGAGATCTCCCAGGGGCTTGTTGGTGTGCTTCTGCACATCTCTTGAAGGTGTGTGTCTTTATGCAGCACACTAGCTGCTGCTTTCTCTCCAGATTTGCATGCCATTGTGAGCCTTGATGGGACGAAGGCATCCATGAAAACTGCACCTGCCATAAGATCCCCTTCCTGCTGTAATTTTCCTTTTGCTTATTGGCCATCTGTGAACTGATTTGCTTAGGTAGCAGATCTCATGGAAGGAAAACTCAGAGCCATTTGAGTAACGGTCAGTGAGCAAGGCACTCAGCCGAAGGGTAAGTTTTCTTGGAGATAGCTTCTGTTTTTAGGCTGCCGTGTTATTAATACGCTGCTGTCCTGGGAGATGCACGTAAGCAGAAATTCGGACACCTGATACTCACCAAGCATAGTTTCCGTAGCAAATGGACAGCCATGCTGTGTCAGGAGCTATGCTCTGTTCCTTGCACCGGGTCTCATTTCTCAGCTCTCCAGCCATTTGCACGCTCATCTAGGACACATGTGGGACTCCTGGCCGCTGGCTGTAGGGCTGTGAGCTGTTTTACAGGGATAAAAGGTGCACGGGGCATTTTGTCTGCAAGGCATAAGTTGCAAGCTCTCTGCCTTTCTGTACTGAGTGACTTTGTGGAGGAGCTTTGTTGGCCACCTGTGGGCGTAGCACTGTGCTCAAGCTTCAGAAACACCTGGGTGTAGAGAAAAATCTGCACACTTACTCAGATTCCTCTTTGCAGGAAGGGGATGGAGCTGAGGAGCGCACAGGATTTCCCAGCGCATGAAGTACGGGAAGTGAAAAGGGAAAGAGGGGCAGAAGTGGCTGGAAAAACAGGGGAGAGGGATGATAAAGCCAAACTAGAGTAAAAGGTGTTGGTGAGCCTGGCAGTGTTAGGCTGCTAGAAATTAAAGATGTTTTCCGTGTTTGTGTGGTCTGTTAGATGCAGTGTGGGGTGCCCAGGCTGTGTGGTGTGCAGGGAGTGTACTGGAAGCCCTGGTCCAGGTGCCTGCTCGTGGGTCCCAGGTGGAGGAGGAGAGCAGGCTGGGCAAGTGATGCTTGCTCTTGCCAGTAACGAGCCTGCCAGTTTGCATACCTGGCTTTTAAAGTGTCTGCAGCCCCGAGGAGCAAGGCTACAAGCAGTCTGCAAGTAGTGTGTGGTGCAAGGGAGGAGCTCTGAGAGGTGGTGTCATGTCCTCTCCAAGGGAAGCACCAGCAGAGGCAGGGGGAGCTCTGGCAAAGTCCTCCTCTATCGACTTTCCCTTGATGGTACTGAGGTGTTTGGTCCTCACTTTGCACGTCCTCCTCTTGCCCCAAACTCCCTCGTTGCTCAGGAAGCTGTTCGAACATGTCCCAGCTTGTGATAAAACCCCCAAAGCTGTGTGACATCCAACTGCAGGCACCAGTGGCCTGCACCCTCATGGCCAAGGGGACCACCCTGGCTGTTACGGGGTTGGAGGCAGTGGGCAGAGCCTTGTGCCACTGCCTGAGCCCCCAAATCCAGGACCAGCCCTCCCTGCCTGAGGCCAGCAGCTCTCAGAGCCAGCTGGGGAAATGTTACACACCCCAGTCCCTGTGGCCAGTAACTACATGGATCTCTTGTGCTGGGAGAGGATACGCTACGGGGAGGCTCCTACACAAGCCTTGGCTCTGATCAGGGGGAGAAAATGCTGGTTCGAGGCTTTCTTGAAACGTTGGGCTGCTTTACTGCAAACAGTTCATTGTGTGTGGCTTCCCAGTAAAGCTCAGTGTACTGAATAATGCAGAGAGGGATGTGCAGCGCTAAAGAGCTTGGTGAGGGATGGGAGAAAGAGGAAAACAAAAGAAGCGCTTCTGCCTGGGATTTAAGGGAGGCAATCAATTAATCAGAGCGGGAGCTGCAGCGAAGACGAGCGGAGCGCTAGGAGCGGGTTTGTTACATCTTCATTTGGTCGGTGCGGTAGGTTACTCAGCTGCGGCGTGGTTTGCGGGCAGGACACAGAGCTGGCACCCAAGTGGAACAGCAGCACGTGTATTTTGGGCTGGCCCTTCGCACAGTGACTGTCCCTGCAGGCTGATTCCAGCCCCTGCAGCAGACAGGTCTCGCTGTGCACCTGGCTCGGGTGCTGCCCGGCTGTTTTTGGCAGGAGGTGCTGTGGTTTTGCTGGGATGAGGGAGATGTGGAGCCCAGCCTGTGGATGTGGATGCAGCCCTAGATGGAGAAAAGCCAACCACTACCTGAAGGCTGTGATTCTGCAGTGCTGAAGGGACCCGGTGAGACTTGCAGGTGCCAGGCTGAGCTTGCACGAGCCTCCTGGCTGGCTGCTGGGGAGGCTGGGCCGTTGAGCTGCCCAGGAGCGAAGGGCTGAGGAAATGTCAGACAAATCCGTAAAGCTGCTTCCTCAGCTTTCCTATGCAAATACATTAATTATTTATTGGGTGATGCTTAAGGGGAATTCTGAACTAAATCCTGAAAAACAAACCATCCGGGTTTGCTGCAGCTGCTGGAGCTTTATGGCTGGGCAGGAGGGAGCTGTGTGAGGGCGAAATGCTCACCTTTGAGGCCGTACGGCCTCTCCTGAGGCGAGCCTTACCCTTGGGTGTGATGCCAGTGCGGTCACAGCAGACATACCGCAGCCCTCTGTTTGGTCCTGAGAACAACTGCCTCAGCTGCTTCCCCCCCCGGCTCGTAGCTTTACAAGATGAAATCCTGCTGTATTAGGACACGATGCAGATTCAAGCAGTGGGTTTTTAACAACCATTTGGGGTCGGTGACTTGGACAGTCAGTTCAGCGGTACACTTACCGTGTTGTTGTTCAACGTCAGCCTTCCCGTTGAATTCCTAAGAGTTTGCATTAATTTCGGTAGGAATCTGCACTTGGGGTGAAGGGTGACCTAATCTTTGAAAAGGATCTTAATCCACTTACTTAGCCTCTCTTGCGGAGCTCAGCGCTTTTCCCTTGTCAAGAGCAGACTGCATGCCTAACCTTGATGTGTCACTTTCCAGTTGACTTAGTATTTGGGTGAGGATGAAAAGGAAACCTTTTTCAAAGATTAAAAGAATCCGTGCTGCTAAGGTATGCGTGTGTGACGTGCATGTATTAAACAGGAGATGTGAGCGTAATTGTAAGGCTGTGGATGGTGGAAAAAAGATGAAATAAAATCAGAAGACTAAACAGAACAAGGACGGGAAAGGATAAATCCATCTGAAAGAGTGTAAGTGGAGTGTTATGACGGAAGGGGAAATGGGGCTGAAATGTGTTTTAATGTAAGCTTAAATGTAAGACAAAAATAAGAGTCCTCTTAGTTTGGCCTGTAAGTGTCTCTTCCCAGAGGCCTGAGGGCAGCCAGGAAAAATGGGGGCACTGCAGCTGCGATCCAGCTGTGAGACCTGGTGTCTGTTTCTAGCTAAGACAAGGAACTATTCGCCTTCTAGGCCGCTGCATTAGATCTGTCTCAGGTCAGAAAGGGTGGAAAGCAGTAGCTTTCTGGTAGCCAGTTCAGTTTTGGGGGGTTCAGCTTGGACTCCAGAGTCACAAAA